TCTGCAAATTTAAACAGGGTGTTTTTTACCCCCTTGTCCAAGTCGCTGATGAAGATGTTTTGCTCACTCTCAGAAGGAGGATGTGAGATTTTACTCCCTGATGGTCTAGAACTCAAGTATCCTGTTTCCTAGCCAAGTATTTTAGCTGCCAGAACCACCACCAACATATTTTACTAGAATACAGATTCCTTCATGTATGTTATCTAGACCTCCTGTACAACAAGTGTGCTTGCTAGCCCCTGATTACATTTAATTATAGACCTGTAAGACGATAAGTAATTTAAATGAATAAATGACTAACATTAGCACATTTCATATCTTAATTTTATTAGCTTATTTATATATTTATATTGCACAATATAATAAGTTATATATACAACATTAAACAAAATTATTAGAAATGATATCTTTGGGCAAGATGTACAGAAATCCTGTTTTCATTCATGTATATCTTTTGTGTAACACAATAAAATATTTCTATACTCAATAAAATAATGTTAAATAGTCTGTTCACATTGGCAACATTGATTTCCAGGCCTTACAGTCTTTGAGGGTCAATAAACACATTATTACTGTAATATGTCTTTACATAAGTAAATAACATATTAATATGAAATAAAACAAATATGGAAGATCAGTCCTTTTGGCTGAAAGTTTACACTGTAATTATACACTAGCATAAGAACAGCAACTTCCTTCCCTTTTTATTTTTGTTTTGTAAGTAGAGATAAACTTGAAATAAAATTTTGTATCCAGGCAAAACTCTGGTCCCACTCCAGTCAGTTTGTTATTATCTTCACTTCAGATGAAGCCAGAAATTCACCCCTGCTTTTAAGTATCTGTTAATTCAGGCCTGTGTCACTCCCAAGTTTTAGGTTTAGGCCGATGCCTGTTGCTTAAATATGAAAGCAAGTGAAGATGGCTGCTTTTTTACGAATAAGTAAAGGACAGAATTATAAGCCTGTTCGGCACTTGCAAACTAATTAAGCAAGATGGTTTTATAATTATTGCCAGAAAATATGAGGGATAAGAAGATTTCAAAGAGAAGCTAAAAGGATAATTAAGTCTCATGTTGGAGTATGTAGCTCCCAGGCTACTCGAAATAAGCAGTGTAAAGATCAGCAAATATGGACACCAAATATTGTTATTAAATATTCAGCACATAATTATAACTCTACCACAGTTATGTTCTATATGCTTACTGGTGAAAAACTGGTTATTAACTTCAAAGATATGGCTGACTGATAGTTTTATAACATGTTTGCTCAGTCATGCAATCTGTAATTATAAATAAATCTTTGTAAATCATGAAATTTCTTCTAGATTAATAATAACTCCTGCTGAAACCTGTCATCACAGCATTTTAGCAATGAACTGAACTGCAAATTAGCCTACCAGGTTTGTTAACAGCTACTGGCTTCTGGTCTGTGATTATTGACTAAAAAAAAAAACAACCCCATCTCCAGATCATAGTACCTCATAAATACAGGCAACGATTGCTTTCCATGGCTCACGATTAACCGTGTGCTGGTCACATGGGCAGGGAACGGACACGCCAGCGGCGGCAGGCAAACTTTTACCGGCCTAGAATTGCCCAGAATGTGACGAACTATTGCAAATCTTGCGAGATATGCCAGCGGAAGGG